CAAAACAGGGAGGGAGACTCGCGCTGTGGTGAGGGACGTTGAGCGTAATTCCTCATTAATGTACTAATTGCATTTCACATGCTCTCCGGTCGCTTGGCACTAATGGAAATGGCGATTATTGTTCTAATTCATGTAACGCTTCCTACTAGCCCGCCTGTGGAAGCTCTTGAGCTACGTGGTGGCTCTGCCCGGCGTTGGCGTTTGCATGCTGAACTGCTACTTGAAAGCACACCACGAGCATGAGAGACCCGAGTTTGTTCCTTACACTCACCTCCGGATCAGGACCAAGGTACGTTCGCCTGCTCTGTTTAAGGCCCTCTTTTCTTCCGTGATTGTAGAGCTTCATCTGAGATTAGTACAGTGTCACTTGCTTTCTTTGCTACGTGAGGCGCTGCGTACGTAGCTGTGATCTTAATTCACGGCTTTGTTTTGGAGGCAGCAGAAGAGTTTCTCCCAGCTCAGATGAAGTAGCTGTGATATTCACAGGCCTTCCCACCCCCAAGAAAACATTTCAGTCCTAGAGCTGCTGTATTTACCTAAACCTAATACAGATCTAGAAGCTAACAGAGGAGATCCCAAATTCTAAAAACTGGGGTCTTCATAGCATAGTGCAGTTGATGTTTAACCAAGAACAAAGATCTTGTTGTCTAGAGAGGACGGCTCTCAGCTAAGGGAGACTGTTTTTCCAGCTCTTGCTTCCTACAGCCTGGGAATAGACGCCAGCTTGCTTAATGCATCAGCCCATCAAGCTGTGTGATGTTTGAGTCCATATTGCTGTTGATCTCCTGTGCTGTATAGATCATTCAGTTAGCTGCCACTGGCTTATTTTCTTTCTTCCTTCAACAGCCTTTCCCCTGGGGTGACGGGAACAAAACTCTATTCCACAACCCCCACGTTAATGCTCTCCCAACCGGTTATGAAGATGAAAACTAAGATCCTGACCACAGCCAGAACTTTGGCTCTTCCCGTCTTGGACCAGAATGTTGTGTGGGAACCATCACTTAAGAAACTCTACATTCCTTCTGTGATGAGGCTGAATGTACTTGCGTACTCTGTCTGTACTTGCGTAAAGGTCCTTTAAATAAACAACTCTGAACTTGAGTTTAGGATCTGACATCTTTGTTAATCTGAATCTTTAGAAGTTCTTTAGTTCAGCGCTTGCTTAAACATTGAGGCTTCCCACAGATACAGTGCAGAAGCAAAGGGGTTTGCTTGCCTGAATACCTGCTCCTGTATCTGATAACACTAACAACAGAAACACACTCAGCATAGGACACTACTCAATTTCATATTCTTCACATCTGGTTTAACTGATCCCTGTAAACCCACAGCTCGCAGCCAGACGAACAGGTATCAGGCTAATACTGTAGATTAAAATTCAGTATATACTGAAGCACATTCTTCGTAATCAGCTATTGCAATATTTATTAACAGTCATGAAGGCAATTTTCTCTTAACCCCTTCTGGGGGAGGGAGTGGCAGCGAAGATGTTTAATTAAGCTCTGTGTGCCTTAACAGTGTTAATCTTCGGCCCTCACATTTTCGAGTATATCAGCACGTATGTTGCTCACAACTCTGCTTTTCATAAAGCTGCAGTCTGATTGCAGAAAGTCTCCATACAGGTCTTACAAATGAAAACACAATTTTTGCAGCACTGTGTATGTCTGTATAATGTATCCTGTGTCACTCGGAAGCTTCTTAACCTAGAAGAGCTTAATTATCTTCCATAGTTGACAGTCAACTTTAAAGCTCCGAGTCTGTTCCAGTACAATATTAGTTTTGAAGTTTTTCCTCTCTGCAAGTCAACCGTTTTCCAGTTCCTTCTGCAACTTCTATATTTTTTTGCATAGTATGAAAGAGAGAGCTATGTCTTAGCTGTCATTAATACTGTTTTTCCCAAAAGGAAGAATGCACCAGCTGACTTGGCATCTTGCTGCTGAACGGAGTGATGGATGGCAAGTGCAAATCTCAAAGTGGGCGCTGTGGGACACCCTTCCCCATGTTGCAATGCAATTTATTTCACCCACTTACTAGTAAAATGAGTGCCAAGACAAGCTTTTCTGCGTTAAAAGCACAGAGTAAAGCACTGATGAGCCCAGTTGTTTTAAAGCTAACTGACAAAAATGACACTACATTTCTTCCTAGATGAAGATCATAGAAAAGCAAACTGGTTATGTGTTATTCCTTAAGAAAAAAGCTGCATACTTGACAGTCCCCAAAATGCTATTTACGGTGCTCTTAGAAAGACCTTTCCCTTAGCTTACTATTTTTATTTATACCCGAGTGACCCAGCAGTTTAAGTGTCAACAGCTTGGTTTTTAAGTGCTACATTTAATCCCCATACTGACATCACACTAGCTGTCTCATGCACCTGAGAACAGGAGTGTGGCTGACCCAGGCTACCTGACTGTGCTCCAGCTGCTGTGTTTAGGCCGTCGCTGAAGACACAGGGAACGACGGCCCCACTCTGCTGCAGTTCCTGATCTTCTGCATCAGCCTCACACTACTCCCGGTGTCTGGGGTCATTACTCAGGGGCTGTAGTGCAGACAAGCGAGCTATTATATTTGAGAACTGCACCTTTTTTTTTTTTTTTTAGTTTTTTAAAAAAGTAAAAATTCTGAATGATCCTTCAGGTAGTGCTTAAAAGCAAAGAGAGTGAAGCTCACTTTTTTTCCTCACTGTAAATCTAGGAGAATTAGGAAGTTGACTTCTCTTTTGTCCCCAGGCCATAGTATTTTTTTTACTCTTTCACCTGTGTTAGTGTAATGAGAGGGGACAGCTTCTCCCCATCCCTGGTATGAGGATCAATGGAAATCTCCTCACCTGCCACAGTGCTCACAGGGCCACTGGATGGGATGGATCCAGATCCCTTGCTTCTCTTCAAAACACCTTTTTTCTAGTTGCTGCAAGCATTTCTGCAGTTTACAAGCCAGCACAAATAACTTTTGTTTGCTTTCCTAGGTGTAAAGTACACACACAGTTCAGGAGCAGCGTCGTGAGCAGGTGAGATTCCCAAGCGGCAGCTGGGGCTTCTAACATTATCAGCTGTCAAGCTTCAACCCCCTGTTTCCCTCATTCAACACAGGCTTTTAACTACCACAAGCAAAAGTCTAACAGTGATCATGGCCAGCCTGGCGCTTTGTGGTAGTGTGGAAAAGGGCAGCCAGGGCTGTGCAGCAGTTTTACTGCAGTAACGCATAATGCTAAAAGAGAGAGAATTCAAGTTCAGGATTGTTTCAGTACCTCAGAAAAGGCTGAAGAAGTACCCTCTGCATTAAAAGTGTCCTCTTCAGCTTCTGTTGCAGGCCACTTCTGTCCCTCCTAGAGGTCACAGTCAGGTTTTACTGGACAGTTATTTACTTGAACAAAATATAACTTGGTTATATTTATTTTAGCTAAGTTATTGCAGGTCCAATAGAGTGCTTTTATACCACCTCTGTTGCTGATACAAAACAGTGCTTTCACCCCTCAGCATTCAGGATCATATAAAACAAACTTCTTCCACCAAAATTCAGCAGCACGGACAAGACAAAGTAAATCAACCTCCTTCATATTCTTTTTAAACGCTTCAGGTGTTATATAAATAAGCAAGAGAAATCGGTCACAAAGCAACTACTATCTCAGCCCACTCTAAGAAGCATTCTCCCATTATAGGAGTACATTCAATAGGAAGTTAGTTCAAACGGCTTTTCACGCTGTTAGATGCTGAACCACCACCACCAAAATTCACTGAAAAGGAGGCAGTAGTTACCACATGATCCAGGTTTTTTGTTTGTTTGTTTTGGGTTTTTTGGTGGCTGTTTTTACAAATAGAGAAGATTCCTCTCTTCCTAGAAAGCAGCTTAACAAAGGTCTCATGCAGCTGGCGTCTAGTCGTATGCCTGGTGATGTTGCTTAGTCCAAAGGCTCGTATTAGTGACTCCATCCATACAGCTGAGGTCAAGAGGAGTTTTCAGTTTTGCCTTTGCTTGGGCCCATGAACTCCAGGCCTTCAATGGGTATGTCCTTCTCCTTGATCGCTTTCTGAAAAGAAGAAAAACAAAAAGAAGAAAAACAAAAGAAAACCTCAACACTTCTTTATAGTGCCAAGTGACGTAATCTTTGGTACAAAACACGATCGAGAAAAAGTAGTCTTAAAGCTGGTTTGGATAAAGCTTCAGTGTTAAGATGCAGTCCGGATCCCGTCACGTAAGCACGCTACAGCCTCTAAACCAGCAGGCTTAAGAAGTTACATGAACGAGAAAAACACAGCAAGAGACACCAGTAAAATATTTACACGTCATGACCGACGGACACAGGAGAAAATCCGGAGCAGCGCGGCGGGGTGCGCAGCCGCGGGCTCCTCCCGGGACTACGGTAAGAAGAGTGAAGTCCGGTGGAAGAAGGCTCGGGGCGGAAAGCGAACGGGCGGGACGCGGAGCGGCGTGAGGGCTACCCGTGTGCCGCAACGGCGGCGCGGCCGGCGGACGCACCTGCACGCAGAGCTGGTAACGCTTGAAGAGCTGCCCGCAGGGGTCCCCGGCGCTCTCGCCCTTGAGGAACTTCTCGGCGAACCAGCGGTTGAAGCACTGGTCGTACTCGCGCTTCAGCTCGGTGCAAGCTTCGCCCACGCTGTTCATCGCGGCGGCCGAGCGGCCCCTTCTCACACCGCGCCGGGGCCGGCGGCTCCGCCGCTCTTGACGCGCTTCCGGCGCGGAGAAGTGACGTACCGGGGCGCCGCCGTTATCCTGCGCGATGCGGTCGCTCTACCTCGGCCGGTGGCTCCGCGCCGCGCCCGGTGC